AGCTAACACAGGTATCAGCTCTATCCTTCCCATTTCTCCCTCTGGCCACTGAACTTCCTGCTCTGCCTCAGCCTGTAAAGGCTACAGGGTGAGCCCAGCTCGCCTGCTTAGAAGGAAGAGCATGGCTCTTGCTCCCCTGGCCCCTCCCCTGGAGTCCAGAGTGCTGAAGGTCTCCTCCCCGCTGCCTTTCACCAGCCTGTCCACTCCTCCCAGCCACCTCCAGCTTCCCATTCGAGAAGAGCCTCCCATACTTACAAGTTGCCTTTGGCCCCACCTGTTTTTCTCCAAGCATGATTCAAGACAAATAAAATATCTTTTCTTGTTCGATTTTACTGGGGTTGTTTTGTTTTGTTTTGGGGGGAATGTTTTTGTTTATTTGGTTGGTTGGTTTTGTTAAATTGCCATCAAACGTAGCAAGATTAGGACGGGCTTTTTGTTCTTGGAAACATCACTCTTCAAATCTCATCACAGGTTCCTTTGCCCTTTTGTGCCCCAGCCCAGGACCTGGTTACCATCAGTGAGATTCTGGAGGAAAACCAGTGTTCTGAGTTTTAGTTCATCACTTGTATAAGAATTTTTAGGAAAGCTAAAATTTGCATATTCGAAGTTTGGGAGCCTTCCTCTAACTTTGCAATCTAATTAAGGATTTAGCTAGCATATGAAGCCAGGTGTGGTAGCACACACCTATAATCACAGCACTTGAATGGTGAAAGCAGGAGAATCAGAAGTTCAAGGCCATCCATTGACTATATCATGAGTTCAAGGCTAGCCTAGGCAGCATGAGAGAGACCATCTCAAACACGCATATACGATGAAAACCAGCACGTGACCTTCTGTAGTATAGAATGGTAGTTCAAAGGGGAGATGGAGGCAGTAGCTGGAACAGGGGGGCTTCAGAAAGCCTTGGGGCTGGGTGGGTGCACCCACTGACAGAGTACCAGTACCCCTGCTCCTCATGGCTAACAGTCCCCGGTGGAGACCAGCCCATACCTGCTTTGTAGTTCTCTTGTGGTGCAGGTCTGTCTTCAAGCAAACAGGAAAGCGGTGTGAGTGGAGAGTCCTACCTAAGGCATGTTGTACCTAAGTCTTGGTTAAATGTCGTATCATTCCTGGGCCTAAAACAAAACAGAAAAATACAGTCTTAACAGTAACCGTGCCATCGTCATAATGTTTACCATAGTCAAATATGACAGTCTTTCAGATTTTATTTCAACTCCTAATAAAATATTTACCTAATGTTCTCCCAAGTTTTATCTCTTGATCAGGAATTTATTTTCATGGTGGGACATGCATTGTCATTGTCCCACTTACCAGATGCTCTTTCTTCAATGTCCCAAGGCATCTGTCTGGGATTTGCTCTTCTGTGCCCTGAACTTTTCCCTTCATTAACCTAAAATGTTTGTTCTGGCTCTTGACCTGAGTGTTACTTTATCATGGGAAGCTATGGCCTGTGGTGTGTATAATAAGCTGCCCACCCCACCCTGTTGTTTTTTTTCTGTTTTTAGTTTAAAAATTCTTGCTTGCTTTTGAATGAGCACTCAAATCCTCCTCACATACAAAGGGGCTTGGGTGTATAGCTGGATCTCGGGTCAGAAAGGTTAGGGAGAGTCCTGGTGGCCAGGGTCCACCACCAGCACTCTTCCCACTGAGCCTTGGTACCTGGACTTGACAAAACTCAGATCTCTAGTGGCTTTCAGACTACGACTGCTTTGCTAGTTTACAGTCTTGCACACAGTGTGAACACCACAGGGCCATGACAGAGTGCTGGGGAAGGTTTCCATTGGTGAGCTTGTCCTGTCCCAGCCTGCCGTGTCCTCAGCGTGGCACTGTCGTCCCTTCCTGTGTACAGTTGGTCTGTGCTCTGGTGACTCCGAAGCCCCATGAGTTGTTACTCAGTACTCTCGTAGCTATGCACTTCTGGACTCAGTGCTTCCAGCATGTGTGCCGATGCTTGTGTGGTGCCTGCATGGGGTGTGGAGGAAGGTAGGGTGGTACTGTGGAACCTCCGAGGGACTGGCAAGCTACAGCTGTGACATTTTAAAATCAATTGCTACTGACTATGGAAGTTTTTTTTTCCTTTTTAATTTCCATTAAAACTTAGAAAGATTTGGAATTGAGACACCAAGAATGCAGTAGAAAACAGAGACCATGAGTCTAAAATGCTAAGAGGTCTTTAGGGCAGAGGAGGGAAGGACAGTTACCAGATTTCAATCCAGCTGCAAGATTCCCATGGCGTCTAGGAAAACGTCACAATGGTTGGTTAAAACATACTGGCAAGCACTATAGCCTACAGTAGACTTAATTTTCACCATGAAATTGTTCTTCTCTTGAATCTTGAAGCTGTAAACTTGAAAACAATTACCCAAGCTAGGCTGATGTGTTTCAGGAAGCATCTGACATGCACTTTTAGGGCACATCATAAAACACAATGCTGTGAGACAAAGACAGGCAGGCACTGTGTAAGAACTTCTGTGAGTTCAAGGCCAGCCTAGTCTACAGAGATAGCTGTTAAGACATCCAGGGGCTACACAAAGAAAAAACCACAGTGCTGTATCCTGCAGATACTTGGTCCCCACAGACACCATCCTCAGCTGCCAACATTCCAGTTGCTCTCCTTGCCATCATTCCTAAGTCCTAGCAGGCCCCAACGTTAGCCTTCAGAACCTAGGCCTTCCTGGCATTGCCCTAGGTAGATTTGTCCAAGGCAGGAAAGCATCTCTGTTACTCCTCCCACCTCCACTGTGTGTCTTATCCTCACCCCAACCTCAAGCTCCTCACCTCACTGAAGAGAGGAATTCCATTGTAGAGAAATTTGGCACCGTTTCCTCACGGTAAGCACTAAAGACATGCTGCAGTGATTGGCATTCCTTCTTCAGAGCTCAGGGTCACTGCTCTTCCCAGACCACAAGAACAGGAGCAAGGGTCTCACTGGGGTCCTCTCTAGTTATGGGGCCTTCAGACTGATACAAAGTTCAGGGACAGTGAGAGCTTCATGAGGTTTTGAGCAAAAACACTGACTCAGGCCCAGCTGGGGAAGCCATGGGAAGTGAGGAGGTGGTATCAGCCTCCGCTCTATCAAAGCTGACCCAAGGTCGGGAGGGTGGCTCACCTGAGCCTTCACTCAGCGCCACACTGTTGCACATGGTTGCATGCTGCTGTTGAACTTCAGTAATCCAGAAAAAAATATTTTCTTATTCTAGAACAAACTCACCATGTTGGACATTGCATCAAATAGGATAAAAAAGATTGAAAATATCAGCCATCTAACAGAACTGCAAGAATTCTGGGTAAGTTTTAAACGTAGTGGAACTGGTATCTCTCTTTGGCTCAATGGGTCCTGTTAAGTAACCATGTGAATGAATGCAGCAAGTCTGCTCGTCCTGGACGCCTTGATGTTCAGTGTGCCGTGCATGTGTTCTGGGGATCAAATTCTAGTTGTTCGCATGTGTTTTTAGCCACTGAGCCTTCTCGCCATCCCTGCCTTCATTGTTTTAGTACGCTATTACAGATACACAATTTTATTTATTTTGAGACAAGGTCTCTATGTAGCCCTGACTGTTCTTGGAACTCTGTGTAGACCAGGCTGACATCACAAAGATCCACCTGCCTATACCTCCCAAGTGCTCTGATTAAAGGCATGAGCCACTGTGCCTAGCTGAGCTTTTGTTTTGTTTATTTGTTTTTGTTTTTCCGGAGTTGAGGACTGAACCCAGAGCCTTGCGCTTGTAGGCAAGCACTCTAACCACTAAGCTAAATTCCCAATCCCCCCCCCCTTTTTTGGTTTTTGTTTTTCGAGACAGGGTTTCTCTGTGTAGCTTTGCGCCTTTCCTGGATCTCGCTCTGTAGACCAGGCTGGCCTCGAACTCACAGAGATCCGCCTGTCTCTGCCTCCCGAGTGCTGGTATTAAAGGCGTGCGCCACCACCGCCCGGCCCAGCTGAGCTTTTTAAATATGTAAATTTATAGTTTTGTGAAATACAGAAAACAAAATTTTTTTCCCTCTAAAGTTTTTCCAGTCCCTCCCAACCCTTAGTTTCTTCTGAAACTGTAAGGATATGTGTGTTAGTCCTTTGGTAATTAGATCATAACACATCTGCTGCTCATCTTCCCCACCTGTCCTCAGGCTTGACTCTGGCTGAGCCTCAGTTTATGTGATTTCTGTTGCTGTCTTCAAGATACTGTTTTCTGCAATACCCAGTCTGCTGTTAAACTCATTAATTAGCTACTTCCATTTTTAGAGATTTATGTATTTATTGGTGTTTATGCGTCTTTATAGAACATATGTGTATGTATGGATGCCTGTGCCTGTGTGTGGCACAGAAGGCAGCTGTGTCTTCCTCTGTCATCTTCTGCCTGTTTGTTTGAAGCAGAGTTTCTCCCCGAACCTGGGTCTGGCATTCTCTCACTCAGCTAAGCAGGAAGCTAGAAAGCCCCAGTGATTCCCATCCCCACCTCCTTTGGAGCTGGGGTTACACACACCTGCAGGTGCCTGGCTTGTTACACAGAATCCAAACTGTGGTCCTCATTATGCAGCAAGCACTCCTAAGTGCTGAGCCACCTCTCCAGCCCTAGGTATTTCTCTTGACGAGGTAACTGACAAAGGCAACGTAAAAGAAAAAAGGATTTGGGCTGGAGAGATGGCTCAGAGGTTAGGAAAACCTTTTTTTTTTTTTAATGTATTTATTTATTTATTCTTGTCTCACAATTTAAAAGGGCACAGTCTGTCATGGCAGAGTTCATGGTAGCAGGAACATGCAACTAGATTCTGGACCCTTTACATCAGGGAAGGCTGGAAAACATAGATAGATACTGCTTTTTACCTTTTTATTCAGTCCAGGATCCCAGCCCAAGGGATGATGCCACCCACATTCAGGATATGGCTTCCTTCCTTGGTTAAACTTCTTTGGAAGTTCCTTCCCTCAGACATACTCAGACATCTCCTAAGTGAGTCTAAACCCAATCATGCTGACAGTGAAGTTGATTACACCTATTCAGTGAATTTTTGTTCTAATTATATTTTCAGCTCTTTGAGAACGTGTTGCTAGGTTTTTTAAGTTATGTATATCTATGTGTGTCTGAGTATGAATCCTGCACACATGAGGACCTGTGCCCATGGAGGCCATAAGATGGTATGGGATTCCTGGAGCTGGAGTTACAGGGGACTGTGAGCCACCTGATGTGCTGCTGGGACCCAGGCTCAGACCCTCTACAAGAACAGCCTTGCTCTTAACCTCTGAGCTGTCTCTGTGGCCTGCACTCTTCTTTTTGGCTTCTCGTTCACTTCTTAGGTTTCTCTGTCATTTCTTCTTTGCATGGCTAGTAACTTCTTGCATGTTAGGTATTGTGAAACTAAAAGTTATATATCTGGATTTGTGTTGTGTTTCTTCAAAATATATTGGGCTTTGTATCTAGCAAGAAGTGAAGTCCCTGCTAACCTTCCAGGCTTATTGCTAGCGTGAACCTGCATGTTCTGTCCTCTCAGGCTAACCAGCTCTGTCCCTGTGTGTGGCCTGCCCTCTATGGTCTCTAGTGAGTGTCACAGAAGCCACAGACATGTCCTTGTTCCATGTGGGCCCAGGTAAATTTCAGCCCGTTCTCCCACTCTGTTTGTACCTGCCTTAGTTTTAGTCCAAGATACAAGGAGGGAGACACCACAGATTTCTGGATTTTCTTTTCCTATGTAGCTCACTCTTACCTAGAAATTCTGACTGACATCATCTCTCCCCACCTACACATAATTCCACTTCACTGCAGTGCGGCTGCCGGTTTGTTTGACTCCCTTCCTCACCTAATGGAAAGCGCCTCCTAAGAGGCCAGCCAGGGTGACCGAGGCGCTCGCCCATTGGCTCCCCTCTCAGGAATCCCTGTTCTGCACCGCCTGCTGTCCAGCCTGTGAAAGCAGCTGCCCCACCATGCCCTGCTCTCTTAGCTCATAACAAAAGCAAGTCTAGCAGCAGTTGCTCCAGGGTTGATTGGAGCTGAAGCTCATCTTACCTGTATGTCTCCCCACTAGTAAATGTAAAGGTCAGGAAGACCAAAGAACAAAGGTTTGTTTAGGACTTTGTGATCTTCTTTTTAAAAACAAAACCTAAAAGTTACTATCTAAACCTTCTTAGTGTGGAATGGAATGGTGTTAAGCACACTCCTGGTTGTGTGGCCGTCACCACCACTCCTGTCTGACAAACCAGAACCGTTCTCTCCCTCTCCTCCCTGCTGGCTCTCACACAGTTTGTGACCTTTCGTCACTGCTGCTTCAGCAATGTGGTGTCCTCCAGGCTCTTCCTTGTCGTAGCACAGTGAGACTGTCCCTGCTTTGACGGCCGAGTGCTGTTCTGTTCTGTACATATCGTTTCTTTTGTCTCACCAGCACTTAGAACAGTGCTTGATACAGACTCGGTGAATCCAGAAGAGGGAGTTAGGAGAGGAAGGGTTGTCATTTCAGTGAGGCTGACTGTGTTAATGTTAAAACTGTGAGAGGTTAGCACTCTGCTGACAGAAACAGGAGAAGTCATTATTGCTGGCAAATGCCCACACAATTCCTAACTTAATCCATCTTTTAAAAAACAATGAGAGAAAGCATTTTGTCTGTGAAGTCGGCAGATTTGTGCAATGTGATTACAGCCAGTCTGTAGTACAGCAGCCCTTGTGCTTAGCACAAGTATTTGGAACCTTAGCACAAGCATTCAGAACCTTAAACATACCCACACACTGAAGCATGGTAGTATCACGTGCAGGATCCTAACAAAATGATGAGACCATACACATGAAGAAATAGTCATATGTGTTGTACAATAGAGACACCTCTGAGAAATATATCATTGGACACTTTGGTTATCTGAGCATCATAGAGTGTACATAGACAAAGACTATGATGTCACTAAATAACACCTTGTGGGACCTTGACTAGATGGACCCGGGAGACCAACACTGAGATACAGTCTTTTGTTGACCAAAATGTCATCAGGTGGCACATGATTTGTTTCCCATAGTAGTAAAAGCTTTGTTGCATTTCTTCATAATAAAAATATATGTTTATTATATTTATAAAAAGGTCAGGTTTAAAGAGGAAAAGGAAGCCCTTTTAGCATATATCCTTTCCATCTTACAGATGCACTTTTTAGATATATTATTATATATGAACCTAGGAACATTTCACATGATGCATGAGTATGATGGTCACTTGAAAGGCCAAGATATTTTCTATGATTTATAAAACCTAAAAGTGGCAAGAAAGCAACCCAGTAGAAAAATAGCAGGCAGATAAGTATGGGCAATGTACAGCACAGTTTGCCTCACTCCTGCTACTTGGAATGTTCCACGGTTACAGTCTGGATCTAAGAGGGATAGCACAGGTCCCTGGAGGGCCCAGTCCTGCCCCTTCCCCTTACCAGACTGGCAAGGCAGGCATCATGCTGACCAAAATCTGGAGCAGGAAGGAGAACCTGGTGCAGCAGCCTGCTTGCTGCTGATACCTACTCTGACAACAGACATTGCCTACATGTCACCAGCAAATGAATGGATCAGTTACTTCTCTTCTCTCAATGTCCTCACCCCACTGGGCCTCTCAGGAGTGCTGTCCTATGTTTCCAGTCAGTGGTAAACAGCCTGGTGGCACACTTGGCCAGTGACTTAGTGGTTGCTGGCATAGGCTATGTAACCCACCCAGCACCCTGCACACTACCAGCTCCCAGACACGCCCCCTACACACACACACACACACACACACACACACACACACACACACAGCTGCTCTCTTCTCTGCAGACATTCGTACTTAGTTCACGCTCTCCAACACTTCTGTCTGTCTACACCGTTGGTGATACCAGTGTCCCTGTAGATGATCTCTCTAATGACCTAACATCTCAGTTTCTCCACCTCTTCCTCTTCATACCCT